TACCAGGACGTTTTTTGTCTTGAACGTTGAAATCACCACATTTGAATTGTCGAAACCACGTTTCACATGTTCTTATGGTTGGAGCATGCTCACCGTAAGTCTCTACCAGCAAACGATGACTTTCAGCGACTTTTTTCTTTTGATTAAATAAGAAAAGTAATGCGTGCCGCAAATGCACGTTTTCAGGCACAAAACTCGACATTTTCAAAAAATTATTAATCTATAACGCTGTTATTTTGGCGGAACGTAACTTGTGTAGTTTTGAGGTTAATGTCAGTAGAATAAAATGACATATGTATAAAATCATAACATTGCATACTTATGGCTAGTGACATCTGTTACAAAAACCGGAAAGTATTAGGTGGTTCGGAAAGTTCGTTTCAAATTTTTGAAATAAATTAAGAGCGCAATATTTTACACAGAGAGGAACTTTATTGAAGCAAATATGTACCGTTTTGTTCAACGACCTTGGCCCATTTTTCAGGAAGCTGCATGATGCCTTTGCTCCAAAATAAAGGTTTCTTATTGGCGAAGAATTTATCAAGATGACTTTTGAGGACTTTCAAAGACTCGAATTTCTTGTCCCGAAGAAAATTTTTTAAAGAAAGAAATAGATAGTAGTCAGATGGGGCAAGGTCGGGAGAATATGGAGGATGAGGAAGAACGTCCCATTCGAAGTCTAACAGCTTCCTACGGATAGACATTGCGACGTGAGGTCTGGCGTTATCATGATGGAAAACAATTCCACGCCTGTTGGCCAATTCAGGGCGCTTCCGTGCGATGGCAGTCTTCAGTTCGTCCAGTTGAAGGCTGTACTTCGCCGCGTTGATGGTTTCGTTTGGTTGAAAAAGCTCATAATATACCACGCCCTTAAAATCCCACCAGATACTCAGAAGAACCTTTTCCGCGTGAAGCCCCGGCTTGGCCACTGTTTGCGTAGACGCGTCGCTCGTTCCCCACGACCTCTTGCGGCTAACATAATTGTATAGGATCCAACTTTCATCGCCTGTTATGATCCTCTTCAAGAACGGTTCTTTTTGGTGCCGTTGAAGCAGCATATCGCAGACGTTCACACGTTCCAGCAATCTATGAGCCCGCTAAGAAACTTCGCAGATCTTCCTAAGTGCAACTATTTCAGCATATCGCAGACGTTCACACGTTCCAGCAACTGCCGTTCATTCATTTCGTGTGGCACCCACACATCCAGTCGACTTGAGAATCCTAGCTTCTTCAGATGGTCATGCACGGTGGAAACAGACTTGTGCAGAATGTCGGCGAGTTCTCTAACTGTCACTCGAGGATTTTCGTGCACGAGATCCATAAGAAGCGTTTCATCAACCTCCTGAGGCCGGTCTGAGCGAGCTTGATCTTCCATGTTGAAATCGTCAGCTTCGAATCTCCGATACCATTTTCGAACTGTCTGGTGAGTGACGCAGGCATCTCCATATACTGAGAACATCTCATTCAGGGTCTGCGAAGCCGTGAAGCCACGTTTAAAGCAATATAGCATCACATGACGAAAATGGACTTTTTGGTTCTCCATTTTTCAAACTGATTTCTGACGAAATAGTTGCACTTAGGAAGATCTGCGAAGTTTCTTAGCGGGCTCATAGATCCGGGAATGTTTGTTGACAAACATAAAATCGTTTAGAACGCCCTCGTTCTTACTGATTACATAGAAATGTGGAGCGCGCGAAATTTGAAACGAACTTTCCGAACAACCTAATAATTACCGACATACCTGGTACTTGTGAAAAATATTTCACGAAAACCAGTGGTAAATTCAAGGAGGAGAGTGAGTGAATAAGAAGCTCGAAATACACTGAAGGAGCGTCACCAACGAGTGCAGCAGTCAGCCACGACCGCTGGGAGAAAATCGTATTACCACGACCGTCAAAGTGGAGCCGAGAACGACGAAAACTGCCGACCCATAGAAAGGCAGCAAGCAGTATCGTCCCCGGAAAAGCTCACGAAGGAGAGGAAAGGCCCAAGCCGTCAACGCGAACATCAACTACTGGAGAACCGACCAGGGACAACAACTAGCTGAGCAACGGAGATAGTGACATCGGACCCGAGAACGACAGCGAGATTGCGACACCGAGGTACCGACCTACCGCAATAGTATCACCGTCCAGGAGCCAGCCAGTTCGAGCCGTTCGCAACACAGCAACATGCAGTATGTGCTAATGTAAGTCGACAACGAATTATGATCATTGTATCGAGAAATTATCGCGAATGTCAGAGGGATGTCTTGAGTCATACGCAGACTTAAAGAACAAATCGTGGTTGCATAGTGAGCCCGCGTTAAAATCTATAAGGCAATTCACGCAGATTCCTACAGTAAAACTATTGCACCTAGCTGAGTCAACCGTACAAGATATCGCAGAACGCGTTCGGAAAAATCTAGAGAATTATTACTCATCTGAGGAAGAAATCGAACTACTCGATCAACCACACACAGAGCAACACGATTTGACTAAGCAGAAAGTGCGACCGATACTTCCCTCATAATGACCAACGCGTGCAAACAAGCGGAAGCATCCGTAATAAAACATAAAAGTGCGAGACTAATAATCAGTCGAACACCCAGTAATCTCTCTCTCAGGGGAGATTTTTCGTTATCATCCTACGATAGCAGTATCTTTGATCCAAACGAGATATTTAGTGAGAACGGAATGCCTGTCTCACTGGTATCAAATACGTACGCGGAAATCGCGGAAAACCGAGAGATGAGTCACGCGATCGAAAGAGAAATAGCCAATATGCATAGAACGTTAACAGCGACATCAGCCGATAGGACGCAAGAACCCCGCGAAAATTTGGTGTCGCAATTTGAAAATATTCGGTCACATCCGGACAGATCACTAACAGGTAGTTTAGGGGTAGACACGGAACGACTATTTGCTTTACTCGAAATAATAATAGAAGGAATAGAAGATTTAAAAAATACGTCCGATACAACAGCGCAAATACTTGCGCGAGGAAACTTCGGAATAGCTCTCACCGACGCCGCGTCAGTAGAGCCATACGAGCGAGATTCATGTAACAGACTACATCAAAAGATAAATAACGTCGACCGATACCCAGAGAATCACGCTAGACTGCGCGAAACAAAGGATCACACTAACTGCGTGTAATTACGCATTTGAAATAATACACCCTGCAGATGAAGCTGCATTAGTAAGGGCAATAATTTGCACGAAATTAAAAGGAATAGCGTTAATCGAGATAAAAAATTGAAATTTGCGCAACTACGCACTGTTAAAGAACACATTAGAGGCGTGTTACGTGAGAAAGAAATCCACAACACGGCTACATCGCGAATTTAACTATGCACAACAACCGGGAGAAGAAGCACATGTCTTCGGGAAACGAGTAGAAAACTTGGCGGCCGAACTATTTACGACGACTACCGAAGGCAACGAGTTGTATTACATATCGATAAATTTGCACAATCAGAAGCAACAGAGGAATTTCTACAAATGATCAACAACTTATTTGATGTTTTTAATTCCAGAAATTTACGTAAAAAATTTTATAAACGTCCAATAAGTCCGGATAATTACGATGCTATTTTATGTAAAGTAGAGGAATATAAAGAATATTTATTAAACTTAAGGTTTAAAAATGAGCAATTATTAATACATTCCAATCGTAAAACGGGATTCCTGGGTTTTTTAATTAATATTGAAAGTTTGAAAATGTTATATAAAGATATATGCCATAAGCAACAAGCTGTACCATATATACCATTGTATTAATTAATACATTGTATTAATTTAATTAATAACATTTTGTTATTGTGCTGGACATCTTATCATAAAAAGCTCGATAATTTCGAAACGGCTTACTCAAAGTAGAAAAAAATTATAGTACTTTGAAAAGATCCGAAGAAGGGCTATAAGAATATGCAATAAAAAATAAGGGGTCTCGTTTAAAAAATTCAAGGTAACCTTGTTTTGACCTTGGTGACGCCATCCAAGGTCAAACTCATAATGGCTGCGTTCAGAAAACACAACGGTTACACAACGGTTGAGTAAACGTTATTGGTCTGAATGTAAGGATCTAACAGTAAGGACCAATAGTTACTAAGCGCTCAGTGAGCGCTTTGTTTTCTGGATGCAACTAATGTCAATAAATAGATGTTTCGAAACCCTACAATTTTTATTTGAAACATTTTTTCTAAAATGCTTAGTTCTTGTGATATTTCATCGTCCCGGTATATTTATATACTCTGTATATCTACAGTATTCAAAAATATTTTCTCTTATCGTTTAAAAGTCTTACTGTTAAATGAAATGAAATACTGTTAAATGAAGAAAAAATGTTTTATTCAATTATATATCTTTATTATGCGTTACAATAAACATAAGTAGTTATTTTAATCATATTTGTACATTTTTTTCAATAACATATGTAATTATATATATATACATATATATAGGGTGTTTCATTTTAAATGATATGGTCAATTATCTCGCGAATCGATGATTTTATTGAAAAATTTTTCGAACGAAAGTTGCATGGCTTGAAGGAGGACACATGATGGAAATGTAGACTTGATCTTGAGTGATCTTGTCAAAATCGAATCAAGGTCATTAATATTTTTTTAAATAGAAACCCCTATTTTTTATTATATATTCTTGTAGCTTATCTCGAGAGCTTTCCAAAACACTATAATAAAGTTACGTTTCATTGAGTACTTTCCGAGTTATGAGGCTTGAAAGTTAAAGCAAGACCGATCACTGATCCGACCAACCAAGGCAAAATCGATCACTAATCCGGCCAACTAAGGCAAGATCAATTCGAATATGTCTTTAGCCGTTGATAAGTCTTGCCTTAGTTGGCCGGATTAGTGATCGGTCTTGCCTTAACTTTCAAACTTCGTAACTCGGAAAGTACTCAAGAAAACGTAACTTTATTATAGTGTTTTGGAAAGCTCTCAAGATAAGCTAAAAGAATATGTAATAAAAAATAGGGATTTCCATTTAAAAAAACATTAATGACTTTGACTTAATTTTGACAAAGTCATTCAAGGTCAAATCCATATTTCCATCATGTCTCCCCCTTTAAGCCATGCAACTTTCGTTGAAAAAATTTTTCAATAAAATCATCGATTCACGAGATAATCGAACATATCACTTAAAATGAAACACCCTGTATATAATGAACAATAAGGATTTTATTATTTAGTTTAATAAGTTGTATCTATATATGAGCAGTCGGACATTCTATATGTACATCGATAAAATAAGCGTTGTTTAAATATTATTTTAAACAATAAAAATTATGTAACGAAATATAAGCATTATTGGTTGTCAATTGTAACAACTTAATAAGATCAACAGAAAATATATCTCTCTATATTTACAATTTGACCGAGATGTTTTGTCACTGATGTCATTGTACCATCGTATCAGGCTTGTAGTAATCCAATTTTACTTTTTTCTGCTTTGGATCTATTTGCCAGTCATTATTGTCGAGATCGCTACTAGATGTATAACGTCTCTTTTTCGATTTTTGTTTGGAAGAGATATCAATATCACGAGAATTCAACTCGACTAAATTCTCCATGGGATGTGATAGTTTCTCACGTACCGTGACAGTACTAATTTCCTTAAGGTTAACTGAAAAATAAAGCAAAATAGTTAAATCTTATATTAATATTTTATATTGATATTTTATATTAGTATTTAGATTAGTATTTATATTATATTTATATTAGTATTTCAACCTAGAAAAAGCCAGCTTTAGTATACGTTGTCAAAGTTATTATCTTGAAACATTCAAAAAGTTTTAGTACTCTATCGTTCAGCGTTTATAAAAAAAATTAACAATAGTTTGAAGAATATGACAACTTCAACACTAAAGATCATATTTTATATGTAGAAATTGTGTATATGTGAATGAAGTGAAGGATGAAGTCTCCCATCTTATGAAAATCTATACTTTGTATCAAGCAAATCTTTATATTTTTGTAATATTTGTTAAATCTTTGTACTAACAGCTTAAAACATCAACATTAAAATTTTTTATCATTTGCATTGAGCAATATTCCAATTCATTTGTACATACATTCATGTAAAAACATTCATAATCAATGTTTTGCTCTATGCAATTAATATGATGTAAACTTTGTAAAAAATGTCAGTATTCTATTAATAAAGTATTCTATTAATAAAATTTTCGAAGTATAGCATTTTCTTAAATTAAAATTAAGTACATCAAAAGTCCTATTTATTTTCCATAGGATATAATTCATACAGCGATTTATTTTACATTTTTATCTTTATCTATTGAACGAATTTGTTTGAACCTCAGTAAAGCAAATATGTGATTTGATTTTAAGTCACGTGTTTCTTATTGAGACTTCTTTCAATCTTTATAATAGGAAAGAGAAAAAGAAAAACCTGTTATCGCAAAATACAAACCTAGTTTGTAAGGTTTTCGTCGTTTACCGGTGGCGAAGACGCAAGACACAGTACTCGCTTTATTGTGTACAATTCGGAATTTGTTTTTACCGAATTTAATCGTTTCCTTTTTCAGAATCAAATTTTGATTTTGCAAATTGCACTGTAGTAGCTATAAAATAATTGACGAAAAATTATTCACGGAATAACTTAATCACATGGAATAATTTAACTTAATTAAATAAACAGGCAATAATTAATAAGTTGATATAATCATACTTTGTTAGGAATATTCAAAATAAAGACTTGCTCATTCTCGGAAATATCCGCCAGCGTTAAACTCGTTGGTAGCATTTCCATGAGTAATTCTTGGTCTTTGACTAATTCTTCTAGCTGAAAAGAGAATAATTCGAATAATCGTTAGATACTTCTTGATAACATATTTGATCAAAAATTGAATTATGCTCAGAAAATGGAATTGGAAAATTATTTTTTTTAATAATTTGTTATTTGTAAAATAATACATATAATATAACATATAACATATAAAAATATAACAAAAAGAATACATATAATATAACATATACATATAAATATAATAAGAATATAATACACGTCATCATTGCTCATTCTGAAAAATATTTGGTTGATTTAAAAATATATTTCTCATACATTAACTAAGTTTTAGTATTGCTTTGAACAAAATATTCTCAAATGTACTTAAAAAAAATCTTTTAATTTATTAAAAATGTTTTGATAGAAATATGCTAATAGACAAAATGTATAAAAACAGACTTTTGTACAATAACCTCATTATAAAATATAAACAATAACCTCATTATTATTATAACTCATTATTATTATTCATTATTATTATTATTTATAACTCCATTATTATTATTACTTAAATAATACCAAATTTGAAGCATATATTCTAACAACAGTATTGTTTGTACAACCGTGTTATTTTCAATAATATATAATTTTATATAATTATATATCATGATATAAAATTCATATATAATTATTTTTTCTTAAAATGTCTTGTAGACATCTCTAAACTGTCTTTCAGATATTTATGTTGTCTGACAGGTAAACCTACCCAAGTGTCCTCCGATATGGATGAAATTTTGCATGCGTATAGAACATCGAAAAATATTAGACACGTATTTTTTTATATCTCATAAAATATTTTAAAGATTAAAGTTTAAAAACCACCCTTAAAATGTCAATTTTTTCGCTTTCTTGTCCTAAACATAAATGCTCAATATCACGAAATGTTTGAGAAAATAATGTTTCCAGAGGAACACATCAGCTATTTTTATGTTACCAAATTCGAATTCACCAGAAAATTTGAGACTTTCAAAATAGCGGATTCAATATGGCGGATCGATATTTGAAGAATATCATGATTCTATCGTAATTGGCATACATTTATTAGTTTTCTGCGATTTACATATCTCAAAGTCTTCAAAGTAAGAAGCAAATCTAAAATCAAATTTTAAAATTCAAAATGTTGGACTCATGCGCACAGTTCTACAATTCGCTATATTAAATCCATCATTTGTGTTATGTGAAGTATATCAAGTTTCCAAAAGTAACAGAACCCCCCTCTCTATCTCAGAATCTATACATTATAGCGAGAAATGACTCGAACGAAAGTTTTAGGGTTCATAATGTTCTGTTTTTTGTGATCTCAAATTTGACCTTGACCTCGACTTTGAAGGTTATTTGAAGGTCAACTTGTGTTTTTTAAATGGGAACCCCTATTTTTTATTACACTGTTTTTTTCTACCAATTAATTTGAACAACTTTTGTCTAAAACATTTTTTTATTTACCTAATATTTTTTTAGATATTTGAGGAAAACTTGATAACTTTTTCAATATTTAACTTATGATATCTTGTTAACTATTTGTCGGGAAGAAAAGTGGTACTAGACTTTCTTGCTTTATTTAGTCTCAAGAATATATTGTTACAATAGTATCCTGATTTTTGTTAATTTGATGATCTTGAAATTTCCAAGTCAGTAAGTTAACAAAAGTCAAGGCGCTATTGTAACAATATATTCTTGAGACTAAATAAAGCAGGAAAGTTTAGTACCACTTTTTCTTCCGATAAATAATGAGCGAGATATCGTAAGTTAAATATTGAAAAAGTTATCAAGTTTTCCTCAAATATCTCAAAAAATATTAGGCAAATAAAAAAATGTTTTAGACAACAGTTGTTCAAATTAATTGGTAGAAAAAGTGTAATAAAAAATAGGGGTTCTCATTTAAAAAACGCAAATTGACCTTCAAGGTCGAGATCAAGGTCAAATTTGAGGTCACAAAAAAACAGAACTTTATGAACCCTAAAACTTTTGTTTGGGTCATTTTCCTATAATGCATAGATTTTGAGATAGGAGGGAAGTCCTTTTGGAAAACTTGGTATATTATTAAACATAGTTTTCTAAATTTAGTTATGGTTTTTTATTTATTATAGTTTTTAATTCTGAAGATCCCTTGAGATATATGATTCACGAGAAATTAATAAATATACACGAACTTTCGAAAAATATAATATTCTTCAAATATCAATCCGCCATATTGAATCCATCATTTTGAAAGTTTCAAATTTTCTGGTGAATTTGGATTTGGTAACATAAAAACAGCTGATGTATTTCTCTGGAAACATTATTTTCTCAAACATTTCGTAATATTTATGTATAGGACAAGAAAGCGAAAAAATTGACATTTTAAGGGTGGTTTCTAGATTTTTTTAAAACACTTTTTTAAAACTAGGTTTCTTTAAAACGCTTTATAGGCCGATATAAAAATATACATCTAATATTTTTTTATGTTTTATACGCATGCAAAATTTCATCAAAATTGGAGTGGGACACTTAGGTAGGTTTACTTGTGAGAAATAACACATTGTTTAACTCTACCAAGACGACAATTAGAATATCACTTACATTGTGTGGTCTGTAATGCACGTTTTGCGATTCGAGTTTGTGGTCAGACATTTCGTCTTCATCTTGATCAGCTTTATTGCTCACATTTTTACCATCTAACGAAACAGGTCTGTTAAGTCTTTCCTCGGATATGTTATTTTTTTCGATATTTCCGAATCTCTCTTTTCCCTTCATATCAACGTCTTCGCGATTATCTTCGTCGTGTAAAATGCTTATGCCTTCTTCAGAAGCATAATTCTTCTTTTCGCGATTATCTTTATTGTGTAAAATACTTATGCTTTCTTCAGGAACATAATTCTTCTCTTCGTCTTCGACTCTGTTTTTCCATTGCTTGTGAGTGCCTTTGCGAGTCTTGTCATCGTGTAAAATATTTGTAAAATTTTCTTTAGAAGCGCAATTCTTCTTGTTGCTTTTAAGCGAAGTGCCTTCACAAGTGTCATCTCTACGTGAGACATCGGTATTCTTTCTAGAAACGTCCTTTTGAATCGTCTCATCTTTATCATTGTCTTTGAAACGGAAACTCGTGTCGGAATTGTTTGTGCTTGTCTGTGCTGCTTTGAAACTACGATCAATGTTCGAGTGATGTTCATTCTCGTCCTTGCTACCGTTGGAATTGCTATTTTCAGTCTGTTGTTGAAATTGCTTTTTCGTTTGCAGTGACACACAGCACACTACGTCAGTATTATTCTCTTCCTGCCTTTCGTAAACTTCTTGCGCGGTTGATATCTGTGTCGTCTTGAAGGACGTATTGGTATTGTTGCTAATGACATTTGGATAATTTGGACTGGTCGACATATTAAGCTTGATAGGACTGCATTCTAAATTAACATCGGTCTGTACTATTCTGTATTTTTGGCTGACGATCCTAGTGGATAAAACTTTTGGCTGTAGTTGCTTCTTTTGGTTGTTCGAGTTTTCCGTCGTTACATTTTCATCGTTTATCTCCGCACCTTTATCAGTCAAGTTTAATTGAAGGGAATCTGTCTCTATTTTTTTCGCCTCTATATTATCAATATCTTGTTCTTTCAAAATATTGTCTTCAACATTTGGACTTATATCTTTATTATGATCTTTCTGGATTTCTTCAGTTATTTTTTCAGTTTCCTCAGATTCAGGTAAAATAGAAGTTTCCTTTACAATGTCTTCCATGTTATGTTGATTTTCTGTGCTGAGTTTCTTAATAAATTTATCCTGTGAATCTTCGTCGATTCCAGAGTCTTTCTGCTGGTCGTGTGAAGCATCTGGTAATGAAACCTGATGAGTGCAGTAGACGGTATCCAACATAGATGTTAAATTTCTCTTGGCATCGTCAATTAATCTTGAAGATTTTGGGCTCAAACAAGTGTCATTATAATTCTTATTTATCATATCTATCTTCTCTTCTATTTTAATTGATTTCTCACAACTTTGATCTTTTGATGTACTCGGCTGCCTGATAGGTGAAGACATATCATTGGTAGGCAAAGATTTGATGTTTAAAATAGCTGACTTGTCCATTTCATCATCCAGGTTCAAATGTGTGTACAATGAACAATATGATTCATTTGCTATTGCATCAAATTCTGTCTGTACTATAGCTTTTTTCTCAGAATCCATTTTACAAGCTATTGCATTGTTTTGATAATTTGATTCAAAATTGGTTTTACTTTCTATTTCAGAATCCTCATGGTTCTGTCTTACATTTTTATTTACAGCTTCCATTTTGCAAAATTTTATATTATTTTGAGTATCTGATTGAAGATATGATTTATTCACTACAGTAATCAGATTACTATGGTTCTGTATATCTTCATTATATCCATTGTCAGATATACATATATTTTTCTTTTTCTTTACAACTTCTTGCCAACCTATATTTACAGATTTCTTGGTCCGCTTCTCCACATGCTTGCTTTTACTATTCTTCATCTTCTGTGTTACTTGACTCTGTTTTTTATAATTAACTTCATTGCTAGTACATAATGCTTCAAAACTAGAATCTTCTTGATGTCTTATATTCACAGATTGTTTATTATTTTTCTTAGTTTTTCTTGTTATTCTATCTTTCTCCTTATATATATCATCTTCACTACTAGTAAAACTAGTAAAACATACTTGAGAGATAGAATTTCTTTGCTGCTTTATATTTACAGACTTTTTGGTGTTTCTCTTTCTCATAGATTTGATTTTTCTACTCTTCTTTTTTATTTGAATCATGTCTTCATCTTCACTGTTTATATTTGTAAGTATTTCGGAATTAGAATCTTTAATTCTATAATCATTTAGTTTGGATTCAGAATTGTGTATAATGCTGTAATCAAGATCACTAAAATTATCAGTATCATCACTGTCGTAGTCATCAGCTATTTTTCGCAAAACAGAAGTTTTTATCGCTACATACTGCTCGTAATCTTTAATGATACCGTAATTCTTTTTCAAAGCATTAAATAACTTTGTTCTTTTACGTATTTTTTGTGATAACAAGAATTTGTGTGTTAACGAATTGTTAATCATTCTTTGCGCGACATTATTAGGAACAATTTCCCACGTAATTTCTTCGTGAGAACACATGATACTTATTTTCATCCGTCTAAACAATAAAAAATAAATTAATGAAAACAGTGTTTTTGCACGTTGCGTTCTGATGCTAAACACAAGCGAATCTGACTAAAGCCAGCGGCACACGATGCTTATTTTCGTGCTGGATTGCTTGCTGGATGAAAATACTGCGTTCTGATTGGTGCATTTCCATCCATCTTCGGAAATGTACCAATCAAAACGCAGTATTTTTATCCAGCAAGCAATCCAGCATGAAAACAAGCGCCGTGTGCCGCTGGCTTAACCTAAAGCAATCTAACTTAACCTAACCTAATCTAACCTTAAACCTGTTCCGAAATAAGGCGCACCTAACGACGTTGGTTGGTTGGTTGGTTCTATATCTGGCTCCGGTCTATAGGTTTGTTCTTTGTAGTGTCCCTAAAAGATAGAGTCTGGCCACTCGGCCTAGTTTTGTAAAAACATGGCGGCAGTGTATACATGTGTATGTGTATGGATGTAACTTGTGTTTACCGCGTTGTATACGATAAAATTGTCTGGCTACAAACTGTAATATTAAAAGTAAGTAAAATTATTTTGTATGTGGTTTCCAAGTTATAAAATAAAAAAATAAATGTATTTAAATATTATAATGTTATAAAGATGTGTTATTCGTAAGATGTGTTATTCGTAATAAAAATTATCTTAACCTCACATTTGTTCTGAACAGTACCTAAAATAAAATGATCTTATAATATAATGCAATAAAAAAATATTTATTTTTAGATTTCAACATGTCAACTTGTGTTCCACACTGTAAAAATTATTATCAGAAAGGCTTTTCACTCTACTCGCTTCCTGCAGATCTTATTAGAAGAGCATTGTGGATTACCAATATTGGGAGACAGGAATGGAATTTCTCGAAAAAATGGTTTATATGCGAGGTAGAAGATTAAGAATTCTTTTTTGTTATAAAATAATTCTTGTTTCATTTATGTATACACTTCTCTGATAATATGTGGGAGAAGCCTCGCATTGATGGAAAATGAAAATTAAAGCAGAATGCAGTTCCAACAATTTTCGATAATATACTTACTTATGATGTAAATTTATTTTTGTTGCTAATATTATCTTTAAATTAAATTTTTAATTGTAGAAATCTTTAATGAAATTTATATTTGCAGGCTGATACAAGAAATGTTACAAATGAAGTCAGCTTTGAAGATAGTTTCAGATAATAATGATGATAATGGAACTAACCCAAATCCTTCTATGGCAAGACAAAACTCATGTGAAGACAACTTTGAAGTATATGTTATAGAAGCAGAAAAACAATCTGCAATAGGAGAAATATCAAAACCACATGCAATACATTACGAAAATGATTATGATACTTTGAAATGAAGACTTCAAGATGGTGAATTGAGAGCACAAGAAGCTACATTGAAATTACAGCAAGCAAACGTAATTATTAACAGAGTAGAAAGATCAAGAAGAATATTAAAAAAACACATAAGAAGATTGACAGATGAAAAGAAAAAAGCGCACAAGACAATTTAAAGTCACAACTACCATTAAATGTGAGAAGAATATTCAACGACGATCAAATTCAAATATTTCTTGGTCAGAATCCACGTGGTTTTAAATGGTCCAACAATACAATTCTTAAGGCATTACAACTGAAATTTTCATGTGGCAGCAATGGATACAACCAATTGTTAACTCAAAATTTGCCTTTACCATCACAACGCACTTTACGAAGAAAAAAGAAGGCATTGACTTTGAGCCAGGGATATTAGAAGACGTTTTTGATATTTTAAAGAAACAAATATTTCTGTTTAAAGATGACCGAGAAAAAGATGCTGCGATTGCTATTGATGAAATGAGTATTGTATGTAGAAAAAAGTTTGACTCTTTCACTCTTTCACATATTGGCAATGCTAGTATGCCTGACAGTTCTGGTAGCGTTCTTTGCTAAATTTACATGAAATCCTGATTCTTTTTTCCTTTCTAGAAACTGAAATATTTTAAACTGCTTATGTATTTATAATTGTATAAAAATTATTCTTTCCTTTACAGGACAAGTACAGAAAGCAATGCATGTTTCAGTGATTATGATTGCTGGTATTTTTTCACGGTGGAAACAGGTTGTAGTCTATTACTATACACCCCATGGATTTAACGGTGCTACTTTAAAAGCTATAATTGAAACAATAATTAGAAAAGCAGAATCTATGGGTCTATACAGGGTGTTTGATAGCTGATCATGCAGACGAAAGTTGGAGATAGATTGGGTGTAGCCGAGAAGAAAAGTCATGTACCATAATGTCAAATTGGCAATAGTTATCGAGTTATTAATTAAAACATGTGAGCCAACGAGCGCGTAGAGAGCGGAGGGCGGCCGCAGTAAGCACGTAGACATTTGATATAGGCGGAGTCAGTGAGTGGCGGTAGGCAAGCGCGTGCGGCGAGGGGCAACGTAAACGACAAGAGGCGATCGCGCGCGACGAAGAGCGAGCGAGCTTTTTCTTTATAGCTTTTTCCTTATAGCTTGCTCGCTCCTCGTCGTTCGCGCTCGCTCGCTCTTCGTCGCGCTCGCTCGCCTCTTGTCACTTGCGCTCGCTCGCTCTTCGTCGTTCGCGCTCGCTCGCTCCTCGTCGCGCGCGTTCGCCTCTTGTTGTTTACATTGCCCCTCGCCGCGCGCGCTCGTCTACCGTCACTCGCTGACTCCGCCTGTATCAAATGTCTATATGCTTACTGCGGTCGCCCTCCGCTCTCTACGCGCTCGTTGGCTCACATGTTTTAATTAATAACTCGATAACTATTGCCAATTTGACATTATGGTACATGACTTTTCTTCTCGGCTACACCCAATCTATCTCCAACTTTCGTCTGCATGATCAGCTATCAAACATCCTGTATATACATAGTATAACTTCCGACATGGGATCCATAGATCGAGCCATGTGGAGAGCATTTGGAAACATTTCAGGTGGAAAATCTTTCCTTCAGAATTCCGTATGCTATCCCGTAGACAACAAACGAAAATTATAATTTTTCGCTGATGCGCCACACCTCTTGAAAAATTTAAGATCTTGCTTAGAGAATAACAAAATAATAAAACTACCACAGACATTCGTGTATATACATAAATTACCTTCTTCTACCGTAAAATGCAAGCATTTGACTGAATTAGTTGAACTGCAAGAGAATTTATGTTTTAAATTAACTTCGAAACTTCAACACAGTGATATTACTCCCGGTAAATATAACAAAATGAAAGTTAGTAAAGCAAGAAATGTCATGAGCATTGATGTCAGCAATGCACTTACATTTCTAGCTGAAGAAAAACATGAAATAGAATACAAAACGACAGCATTATTTGTAGAAATGGTTTACACTTGTAATGTCACGATCTCAACGAGTAGCATTGGGTAGAACGTCAGGCAATGAAAAGAGCGAAGAAAAATATCATTGAAGTATTGAATTTCTTGAGGCCGTTATTGAACTTTTTAGAAATATTGCAATAGGTGAGAATCATTATTTCAAGCCCGTCCAATGGTATCATGATTACCACAAAGTCTGTTATAGAGTTAACAAAATTTTTGATAAATGAAAGAGGCTATATATATGTCTTAGCAAGTCGATTTACACAGGATTGCATAGAAAATTTATTTTCCGGAATAAGAGCTAAACATCCAACACCCAATGTTTTACAATTCAAGCAAGACTTGAAAGAACTTTGTATATCTCGCTATATTAAACTATCAAAATATACGAATTATGACCAAGATGATAGACAATTCCTATGTGACTTCTTGAATAAACAAAAAAAAGACACGTTGAACAGTTTCCCAATATTCCTCCTGAGATTATTTCAAAACATATATCTTTTAATAACATATGATTAAATGTATTATACAGTGTTGCTGGTTACACAGTATTGCTAAGTGTGCTAAAAATGCAATATGCGCAAGTTGTTTAAATTCTGCAGGTTCAACTAAATATAATGCAAGTATTAAATATGCAAGATTTGTATATTTAAGATGTTTTCGAAATAATACTTTATTTTTTGTAAGCAAAGATGTTTTTGAATATTTCATTGCCGTGGAAATTGTTATTCTGCAATATCTTCCTCATTTAAATAATTTTAAGTGTAATTTAATTAGTTTCTTTATGGAAAAAATGGAAAATGTTTTTTGTGCGAGCATTAACAATTGTCATCAATTAAGTTTGAAAATTATGAGACGATTTATTGCATATAGGATGAAAATTGTGTGTACAAAGGGGCAATTAGTAAAACCAATACACAATAGCAAAACAATGGCCATTCTATTGTTACGTAATGTTACAAAATGTTTATATTTGTTCGTTTGAATTATAAAAACGAGTTACACAAACTCTTTGTACTTTTCTTATTTCACTCCTTTCCCCACTTCTGAATGTTTGTGAGAATGTTTCTCAATTCTATTTTACCACATTCGCTATCCTATTTATAGTAGCAAATAAATATTACATCTGATCGCGCATTTTCACGGCTTGCTTATTTTTTATATTTCTCTTCTGTCTCACAACACTTTTGTCTCCAATTTTTTACATATACATACATCTAGATAAAAATATATAGAAATATAGACAGATTCTAGGTAAAGAAATCTATCTACTACATTTTTAAATTATTACGTTCTGTGTAACAATTTCTATTGGTTCCGCCATGTTTTTACAAAATTCGTTTCGACTAATAAAAACGAACACGTACCGTGGCCAGATCTATCTTTTAGGGACACTAGTTTGCGCAAACTTTTTGACAGATGTACACACGTTGTCACAAATATCATGTATCGTCAAATTATAAGTGTAAAATACTTTATAATATTAAATAAAAATGACATAAGTGAAAACATAAAGTGCATATAATAAAATAAATGAGACGAGTGAGAACATAAAGTTAATAAGGTAAAAAACATAATAAATAAATAAATAAATAAATATATATATATTATATATAATATATATATATATGTGTGTGTGTGTACATGCATATATATATATGTATATGTGTAACTAGATAAGTAATTATTAAATGTAAATAAAGAATTTAAATTTTTCAGTATTTTGGCATGCTTCAGTAAATTATCGGTCATGGTTGTGACTTAGTTCTTCGCATTGGCATACATTTTCCACTATTGCAATAAAGAAATACATATCAAATAAGTAATTAATATTCACATAAAATAAAAGATTAAGTATCTATGTATAGTCAGTAATGATAGATGTTGAACCGATTCTTTCTTTCGATTAATTTTTTGTTTCAGCTTCCCAGCTATCCAAGTGCTTGCAGAATATTATTAGTTGGAGGCCACTTTCCTGTGAAGTAAGATTACCAAAGTCTGAGGTTACTGTGTCCTTGAATGCGTCCCAGAAAACAAAAGTTGAATCACATCCTAACATCAAATATCAGAGTAAGATGTGTTACTAGCAGTGTGATGACAGATTAATGCATCAAACTAATAATAGGTTCGTAACATTGATGTTTACTGTCATATTGTCAATGCTTTTGACAGCTGTACTTGAAATTTTTTTATCACTTTATCATGTAGCGTACTGACTGATATATTCTTCTTATCTTTTAGGAAACAGGATGTTTTGCCTATGTTTGCTTCTGCAAGTAAGGTTATTGTGATTTACGGTCAAGAATGATGAACTTTTTCCCAAAAATTGAGGATTGGTCCTTAAAGAAAACAACTATAGTAAAATGAAAAATAAAAATCATATAAATGGAAGATGCAAGAGTTACGAGAAGTCAAGGATCACAAAGAAAATAGAAAGTAAGAACATGTTATTGTAAGATTTAAAAAGAGAGATCCTCTATTTCTCTATTCTATTATCTTTCTGTCTCTCCTCTTCTTGATCCTCTTCCTTTATAAGAGAGGGATGTTCAGGATGTTTAGGTTCCGAGCGATTAATGTGAACTCTTCTTATTATGAACAAGAATATAAGTATGTATATTTTAAATAAACAATAATACAATAGTAACCGACACCGCAGCTTATATTAAATATATCTCTTTACAAAAGCTTAACGCTCTACGACTCTTCCTTCGACTTGACTCTAATTTCTATTATTCGTCTCGACATTAATCGGCAAAAGGCTAAAGCTAAAAAGCCAAAGGCAAAAAGCCCCGTCTTTCTCTGTGCGTCTCCTTTTACCCTCTTCTCCATCCGACGAGTCTGATCTCCTAGGACCGGTCTTTCTCCCGTGGCTCCTCCCGGAATAGACTGGTGCTGTCCTCCCTCGTCTGTATCTTACAACTCGGCCATCCTGCTTCAGCAGCGTCCCGCGGCTGGTAATAACCAAGCTTAAATAAGGGCGGCTAACTTTGCGTCGGCCCTTCTTCGCCTACATCGCTCGCGAGTTCCTTAATCTACGGGTTATCCTACGTTTACTTCGCTCGCTCGTTCCTTCGGTAACAGTGAATTTTCGTCCGAAATTTTAATCCACGGTTTAATCTTATCTACTAATAGAATAGTATCTAAAGGTCGTGCTCGGTGATTGAAACCAGGTATATCTCGTACGACATAGCGGTTGTATCCTAATACTTTAGCTATTCGATAAGGTCCTTTATAACTTGCGTTCAGCTTTGAACTTTGACCGATTTTCCTACGACTGTCTCTAATTACGACTAAATCTCCTATCTTGTACCGCGACGGCTTTCTGTGTCGTTTATCGTAATATCTCTTATTGTACGCTTTTACGACTTCGTTGGCTTGTTGTGCCAGCATTCGCGCTTCGTTTCGTTCGTCATTGACGTTGGTCATTTCATTCACCCATTCACGTGTAAATTGTACGAGCGCCGCGTCCATGTGACTACGTTTGTCGTAGCCTAACAGTGACTTGGATGGGGAACACTTAATGGACGCTTGGTACGTGTTGTTGATGACGTATTGCGCGTGTCTTAGTTCTTCTTCCCATTCATCGGATATACTACTACTTTTTGTTAACACGGCTTTCAGGAAACGGTTCGTGCGCTCAACCATGCCATTCGCCCATGGCGATGCTACTGCTACTTTGCGATGCTTAATCCGCTGTTCGTCAATAAATTCTTTAAACTCGGTCGATGTAAAAGCCGTTCCTCTATCGCTGACTACTTCGTTTGGATTCCCGAATGTACAAAAAATAGAACGTAGCCGTTCGATCACTTCTTTCGATCCGGTGGATCGAGTGGGAAAAAGCCACGTAAACCTCGTGAACGCATCTACTACTACTAAAATATGTTTATTGCCCTGCTTTGTCGACGC